TGGTGGTAGCTCAGCAAACCCCAACTCTCTCTAAAACACCGCAGACCTCTGCCGGTTCGCAAGATCGTGCTTTCCAGGAACGGTTTTCCTCAATATCGCCCTTTAAAAAAAAAAAAAAAAAAAAAAAAAGTCAGAGAAACTGGTTCCCTCATTTGATGTGGAAAGAACGACAACATTACGCTGTCTGTTTATTGTGTTCCTTTATCACTGGAAAGAGAAGCCCCTCCTTGTGAAGTGCTAAGAGAATAACAAGAGCAGCAGTGAAAAGTGTCACTGCATCCTTGTACAGGTCGAAAAGTCTGTGCGTTCATCCTCTGAGAAACTGAAGAGCTAAATTCGGGCGCGCTCTGAGCTGTGTTGACCTGCGAGAACCTTTAGTTGGACTTGCACTTACAATCTGATCTTTTGGCACAGCGAAGAGGCTACATCCATAAAGATCTATAAATAAGATAAACTGAGATAATCATGTAACCACAGCTACTGTACCATTTTAACTCTGCTGTTGGTGAGAACAGTCTTTGTTCCCTGATTTTGCAAATACCCTGTTGTCAAGCAAAATGACCGTGGAAATCCATGGGAGTTTTGTTTCCATAAGGACTGGAGTTGGATATAACCTTGGGAGAGGCGGGTGGTAAACACTGGGCTTGTTGAGGGGTTTTGGCTAAGGGACAAGAAACGATGTTCAGCATAGCAAAAGGTTAACAGCGGGGGTGCTGCAAGGTTCTTTGCTGGGTCTGGTGCCACTTAATGAACTGGAAAAAGGAACCAGCAATGATACAGCAAAATTTTCAGATGACATGAAGTTTTTTTTAATCTTAAATCAAGCCCAGCAAAGACCAGACAGAACTTAATCACATACTTAATCCCCGAGGAATGAGTGAAAAATGAAGGCAGAGGATGGAAAATAAATCTCAGTATTGAACATTTGAAGCACTTGGAGAGAAGAAGAACCGAGTATGCACTTTTATGGGTTTTAAATGCATTGTGTTAACTCAGGAGCATCATGAGAGAAGGAGCAATGATAGTCTCTGCTCAATGTGAAACTACTGGCAAAAATTATGTTAGATTTCAGTGGGAACTGAGCAGAGAATAACAAAACATTATAATGTTTTATAGATCTGTGGCTGTTACACAGATCAGTGGGTGTACCTGAAATACTGTGGGCGCTGCTGGTCATCTAAAAAAAGGATAATACAGAACTAGACCAATAAAAATTATTGGTGCACAGCAAAGCTTTTATAGCACTCATTGGATGGAAAACTCCAGAGAGTATTAGGGAAACATAATAGTCTAGAAAATGATGAGCAGCACAGAGAACTTTTATCAGAAGCTTCTGTTCTACTTGACGGCCCAGAGACAAGAGATGTAATGAAATCAGAATTGATAACAGGAATTGCTTTAGGAGTAAGTAAACTGGCGCTGCCATTAAAAGCCATGGAGGCCGAAAGCCCAGGAGCACCTCTTTGCATTACAGGTTTTGCACCATTACAGTACTTAAACTTTAACACATTATGAAGAATGTGTTAAGCCTCCTGTTTCATGTTGAAAGTAATTCTTAACTATGGGAAACTGAAAAAAAGAGTTTGTCTGAATTGCCTAGAACCAACCACTCTTCGAGTGTCCCACCTGAGGGACTTTCTGATCACGGGACCTGATTGACATTGGCAAGTCCTAGGTAAAGAATTTAATTCTACATTGTTTAAAACTTCTCAACCTGTACAACACTGTCTTCCGGTCTTTCACTTTGATGTCTCCATCATCTATAGCAACATCATCTATTACAACTTTTTTAGGCTACAAGTATTTCTGGGACCAGTAGGATAATACAGACTGGTGTCTTGGGGTTCTGTGTCTCAGCTGACTTTCAGTGGGCATGCCCAGGTGCCTGGAAAGCCACGAGCTCACACTGTCACCTCTTGTGAGGGGAATGAGTCTGCTCTGTCTGCTCTCCTTGGCCACCTGGGTGCATGAAGCCTTAACTGTTCTGTTTCTCAAAATGGTTGGAAACAGGCCAGTGGTGCAAAAGTTATCAGGAGAATTCCCAAACTTCATTTTCCTTTCCTGGGGAAACCTATAAAAACCATCTGCAAATTAAAACCACAGCATTGCCTGAGTTGTTTATTCATAGGTTTGTTTGTCATGTTTTTTTACAACACAGTTCTCCTGATTGGTATTGGAGCGAGCTGTGTTTTCCTTTAACTGGAAGGGGCTAAGGGATAACAGGGAAGCTGTCATCTGTAAATAGACAAATGATTAGATAAATCCCAGAAGAGACTGTTATTTTCCTGAGCATGGCCATATGCTGAATTTTGTAGTTGTCACTCTGACTTATCCCTCCCTGCAGCTGGAGTGCAACAGTAAGTGCACATACTTTAAAATCCTGTTTCAGAGAAGTTTATCTTTCACATAGGAGGGTCCTTCATGTATCTTTCATATGTCTGGAACGTAGGCTGTAGAACATAGTGTATATAGACTTAGTGCTAATGACTGCTGGAGATTAAAGGTCTCCCAGAAAAAAACAAAACACAACTGTTTGTTTTTATTTCTATTCAAGAAGTGCTAGAAAGTCTTCCAGAACGCTCCATGGAAGCCTTCGCAGAACAAACTGTTGGTGCTGCAGAGGTCTCAGATTTCATATACTGTGAGCCAGATCTCAGCCTGATATGATGTTACCACCTTATGTATTTCCAGGGACTGTGATTTTACCCTAGATGAGACTTTGGCTCCAGCAGGGGCCAGCTATTTGTAAAGTTAAGCCTGTAGGTGAAGTGGCTAAGAAGTGTTTACATTGGGAAGTCTCTCTTCTGCTGCCCCTGTGAAATATCATCATTGATTTAATTTTCATGTATTTCTTGTGTAACCTTATTTCAGCTGCCTATGAGGGGAAGACACTAATAATACAGTAGCATTTAAAAGGTATCACTTATTTGTTGATGCGTAAGAGAGAAATTATGTCATGCTGCCTGACTTTGTGGAGCCAGGAGGTCATCAGTAAGTGCTAGTGGAGGGTAGAGTTTTAGTTTTTGCTAGCTAGTCATGTTAGTAATAGCAAAATGCTGCCCACACAAGTGGTTGTTTTTCAAGATTACTTTAAAGTGTCCAGCACGTGAAGAAGCATTATAGACTATACAAGTCCTTGGGAAACATTGAAAGCAGCTCTTTGTGGTGTAGAGCCCTCTAAAGGATGAGGGAACCTCAGGAAGAGGACCCAAATTTTAGCAATTAAAAATATTCTTGCTTTATCTTGGCCAAAGTTTAATTCAGACTGTTTCAATTAAATAAATGTGCTAGCAGAAACAGCAGTGGTATTTTAGTCATGACACATGCCCCTTTTCTGTTTACATCGTTCATGGCCACAGTGTGAAAGCAGCCTCCTACGTGAGGCATAACACTTCGTACAACCCTTAAAACGAACCTGGTGCTTGCTCTGCTTTGCTTTAACTGGGCCTTTCTTTGTGCATGTGTTGGTGTAAGTTCAACATGCCAGAACTGCTGCTACAGTGTGGACTAGCACAAAAATATATTCTAAATTATCTTGGATTTGTTAGGTAATCGTCTTGTTTATCTTGTTTTGTCTTTGTTTTTTTGTTTTGTTTTGGTTTTGGGGTTTGGGTTTTTTTTTTTAGTATTTTTATCTGAGACATTATGCTGGATATAAATTGAATAAGGGGCCACTCCAGGCCCCTTACTCCACTCTGATACCTCTAAAAGATGTTCATTTTTGTTTTAAATCACAGTGTCATATGAGGTTACATTGTATGGCTCAGCTCCCTTGACACTGTAGATCTTTGAAACCATAGGCTTAAGATGAGCTCATAAGGAGTAATACCACCGTTTCTTTTATTAACCTGCAGGGAGTTATGTATGTCAGAGGGTTTTGCCGAGCAAAACTGATGTGAAGCGATGGGAACAATTTTCTTCCGTTTAGTGAGGGTTACTGGGGTTAGCAAAAGAAAGTTTGTCCCCCATCTCTGCTTGACATGCTGTTTTTTTCCCACCTGGTGACCAGCAGTCCCAAAGAGAATGGAGGTGATAACCCTGCCCAGAAGGATATATAACCCACGTTGCTGGGCTCGGCCGGAGGGATGGCCAGCTGTCGGAGGAAAATGTCTCTTTGGGGAAGAATAGCATGGCCACGTGCCTCCTTAGCCCCAGCTGTGTCACTGTGAACCCCTGCGCTGCCTGGAGGGGGTTAGCTGTGGGATGTGCCAGGCAACAGTTCCCCTTGGTGGTCCTCAATAGACGACTCAGTGTGGCACCAGCTATGTGACTGCTCGAAGGACTTCAACTGCCCCGGCCAAAGAAGTGTGTTGAAACAATACTGGGGCTAATGTTTGAATGAAGCAGAAAAGTTGCCAGATGCTGCTCCCTCTTTCAGATCCCGCAGACTTAAACCAGCCCTGAAGTCAACTGCACACAGTCCTACAGTTTTTCAGTTCTTGTCTTGTTTCATGCACAAGCTTCAAATAACATTGGATCAGTGCATGACTTGTAATTTGGTTTGAGAGCTAAACAATAATATCAGGGGCCCAGGGGCTTTGGGTTGGTTAACAAATTTGCAAGAAGCAAAAATAGTGGTTGTTGCTTTCTTCCCAACCAAAGCCTTTTAGAGCATATTTATTCCTACTGCAGTACTGTTGTAAAGTGATATGGGGGATGTGTTTATTTCTTAGCAGCAGCATCTCCTACATACAGACAGTTGGAAGTATTTAAAATACGAAAACAGATTACGTAAAATTGTAGTTCACAAATCTTAGATTTATCAAGGACTTTCTAGAACTTCTGGATTTGTCAGCGCGATAGCAACTACCCACTGTAACTTCTGCCCCTCCTCTCTTCCTCAATCTCCCCTCATTTGATTTTAATGTATATTAAATAGTCTTCTA